CGCGTTAAACGCCTTTCGTTTGACTCCTTGCAATATATCAACTAAAACTGCCGATATTCGCATAAAGTGTTTGAAAAAAGAAAAATATAACAAGCAATGATCGAGGACTAAAAATGATAAAGAAGCGAACGGAAATGAGCTGACTCGGATGTTTCGACGATCCCTGAACGGTATAAAGATAAACTCTCGAGTCTGTCGAAGCGGCAAAAAGCGTCGAGCCGTAGCGATCTAGACACATTGATGTAATGCCTGAAAAGTAGATAACAACGTAATGAAAGCAGATGCAATTCGCTTTGAAAACGTGGAATTCAGACGTTAAAGGCGAAAGAAAGCAGCAGTGTCGGAGTGAAAAAAAGAACTGAAGAGTTCCCAGGTAGAAGAATTCAAAAATATACCCGCACTCACCTACAAAGCAAAATAAGCAAAACAGCATATCTTCTCTCCCAACTGTCTTAATTCCCCAAATCCTTCTGCCCAAAAAGCTGCGCGGCTCAGACTGCTTTCAGTATTAAGGAGCTAATTTTAGCAAAATTCACATCCAATTTATGACAAGTGGCAAAATGGTTTATACAAAGAGGCACTCAAACATACTATCGCAGTTGCTGCGTGTTAGAATCTGTAACGCTCAACGAATATGACAATGAGTACACGGTACCCCCTAAACTTGTTCTCGGCTGCAGTTCCCGGACTAAAAATTTGTAGTTCGCGTAGAATGGATTTATTTACTGCAACAATTCTACAACGATTTCGGAACTGAACTCAAAAGTTGCCAACGGAATACCAACCACTGGGAATACTCCCCCTCCCCCCCACCCGCTTAAAATCCACAGCAACAGCCAATAAGGATTAATTTTGGATGCCCACAGAAGGCATTCAGGAACAATTCCAGAAACTGGCCGTCGACAAACTCCTTTGTGAGCTGTTGCAACGAATACACATAACCAATAGGCAATATACAGCAGATGCAAAGAGCACTGAGAGAGTTGTTACCGTATTCACGAGGAGCATTTGGATTCGGGTCTTCCAGGATTCGAAACGGACCACCCTTGCCGCGACAACGAAGATCCCAAAAGCGAATGCCTCTGCAAAACACGAGTGAAGGAAATTAATTTTTGGATGGACAAAACGTGTGCAAAAAGGTAAATTGAGAATATCGACAAGAACTTTTAAAATTGATTTTTCTGATTTTTTTAAATTAATTTTCCAAAAACTTTCAAAATTAATCCTACGACTGAAAAAACAGTAAAGCCATGTACGTTTCACAAGAGCACGATGAAGAGATGATAACATTCTCGTCCAGTTGTAATAGGGTAGTGATGCCTTTTGACCGTAAAATTTGCGAAGGGCGAGTTTTTCCTTTCATCGCAGTGTAGTAGTCTAAAAAAAAAAAAAATTCATTAGGTTCTTTTAAAAACCACAGCGTAATCCCTTGTGCTCTCCTGCCTCGCTTCTCCGTCATTTCGCTGAAAAACATGATGTAATAGCGTCGATGTAAGTGCAGTGCAGCCACACGTTGCGTATGCACAAATGCCTTTCGGTTCTGTACGGGATGTCTTCAACTTTTGCCTGTCAAATCCAAAGTTTCAGGAGAGGACGGAAACGGGATAGCGCTCTCAAACTCTCAGCGTAAATGAATAATTCAAAGAGCAATAACAAGAACCGGACATACCCTGTTCCGCTGGCAATGGATGGGTCATTTTCATAACGAAGAGGGGTGCTACGCCGCCAGCCGATCGCTTACATTGCAGTCGTCGGTCCCAGATGCAAATGGTCCCGTCGCGATCACCCGTCGCAAAAAGATCTGCAAATTTTGATTAAAATTTATGTGATACATCAAAGAGTCGGAGGACTCGGACAAGAACGGTTTGTTAGATGAGTAAAGTGGGGCGAATTTCTGAATCTCATGGCAGCTGGCTGCCTCAAGAATGAAAGCTGCAGCACTGCAAACCAACTGCGCAGAATACTAAAATCAAAAACGCTATGGCACGACAGTTTAAACGATTGTCCAATCAAGAGACTCACAAGTAAAAACCGCCGAATCTATCAAGTGATGGGGGTCTAACATTTACCGGAATCCAATTATATTTGCAATCTACGCGCTGAGCTTACCCGCATATCTTGTACTGCACATGGTCTCGTTAAAGTAAAAGAAAAAACTAAGCTGCTCATTCAGCGAAGATGAAAGATAACAAAGCAATATTAAACGAACACTGAAAAAGCAGCAAGCACAGCGAAAATATCCACTTCAGCACTGATATTTTGGGTTAGGCGAATACGGAAAATGCAAAAGAAATGAAAAATTGCCAAAACAGTACCAGTAGTGAAAAGCTGACCCACAAAAAAGAACTTACTGGGTGTGTCATCATACACAGAAAGAGTGCGAACAGAGCCATCATGGCCAACAAAATCCTGCAAAACTGCCTTGCGCTCGAAATCCCATGATGCCACTTTGGCGTGCCCCGATATGACCAGCAGATTAGTTGGTTGCTTTGCAACAAAAGCCAGATCAATGATGCAGCTGCGATCGGCCGAGAACTCTGCAAACACCGCTGCCCCAGCAAAATATTTTTTGGAAAAAAATGAATAAAAGAAACGCAACTGCACAGTGCAAGCAGAAAGATCAGTCGCTGATTCCAATGCATTGGTCGAAAAACCAATCCCTCCGAGCTTCCACAGAAAAGCGATGCTGATTTGGTAAGACTGCCTCCAGTTGCAATTCTCAGAGGATGCACGAGCGAAAATTATACTACTATCGAAACGTCTTATCCCACTCTTACCTTCTTTTCTCATATTGTTCCATCATGCTGTAATCTATCGCGCTTTCGCCAGTTAGGCTTCCAGAGTCAACCTGATTGCTACAATCCTCTTATACTAGTTTTTCCCCCCACCCTCCCCCCTGAACAGATGTGGATGAATTTTTACCGCTTTTGAATTCGCATGCCACAACATCCATGAGATGAATGCATCCATTTTCATCGCCAGCTGCAATCAGTTGCTCCGCTGTCGGATCTTTCGCAAACTTCCACACAATCCAAGCAGCCTAAATTTCATTAAATACAAAAAACAAGAAATCATTCTAAGACATCCCATTATAGTTCATCAGCTATCACAGTTGTTCCATACCATCCACCTCTACAATGGTTTACCCATCAAAAAAAAAAGCAAAATACGCGTTCATGCAGGCCATTTATTGAGAATTATGAAAATGAACATGACCGCATGTCCGTTCTTGGACCGGGGATGAAATATAATCTTTACACCATCCTCAACAACATACAAGGACTTCCCCATACGCATGAATTTCAGCAACTTTTAAAAGCGTCTTCGCATATATGTAAATAGTACCAACTCTCACGCACGTCTGGGCCCCAAGTACAAGCAAAGCTTTGGCAGGAAAATCGCTAACTCGAGAACCAGAAATGCTGGGAGACTGAAATTTTAAGGGGATGTTCTCCGTTCAGGTATCATGTAGTCGCACAATTAACCTTTTGAACTTCGAGGACCAGTATATCACAAATTCTACCTACTGAGACTCCCAAGCGACCTTAGTACAGCACAAAAAACTGCAAAAATGCGTGATCGCATAGGCTCGCCTCGCGTACGTCGCCAACGATTTGTATTTCCATCAAAAAGCATGTGTCCTCTTGCTACACTAACACTGTCGGCTTCTTCACATGTGCTTTTTTTTAAAGTCTTTTTCCTTCCCTTACCTCTTTTCATTGGCATTGTGTTTTCCTCACTCACTCCCTTCTGTAGAACTGTTCAGCTGGTTAATATGGATTTTAAGCGTGTTAGGCAAGTATATCTTGTGAATGCCGCCTTTGTGCGGGTTTTTTTCAGATTTAACAGGGGATACGTTTTGGTCCCAATAAATGGAGTCTTAAAAAACCGCTCCGAATCGTCCAGTACGTTGAAACGAACCAACAAAATCCGAGAAAAAGTCACCGAATGTGTAGCAAATGATTACACTCCGCGTTTCCGCAACGTGTTTTTTTCCACCCGCCGGACATTCCCGCGCGGTACAGGAACCTCAAATTTCTTAGAAGAAAATATGTTACCGAAGTTCGCGCAAACGAATTTGAAGTATTAAATTATATTTGTTTCTCTTGGCCAAATTGGAGACCGCTGATCCCTGCCATTCACATTTGCATGGGTTGCCTGTAGATCAGTAAAAAATTGCCTGGCCCACCGACCTTCCATCGCAAAAATTTCAGATATTTTTACTGCCAATGCGACTAATTTTTTATTCCGACATAAAAGATAAGCCGAAAATCTATCCTGGGGCTCTACGAAAGACTGGAATTTAATGCCCGGTTTTCCAGCCTTCGAATTTGATCTAATCAGTGCTCGTATAATACTATTGGCTATGTAAAAGCCCTCTAAAACGGCTTGGTAGAGCACATCTCTAGCTGTACTACTCCAAGAAAATTCCCATACTTTTATCAATCCCAGTACAACTACAGGTGCCAGCCGCAGTGTGAAACAGTTCTTAAAATAGTACCATTTAAATCAGCAAAAGTTTTTAAACAAAAAATAAAACTGTACTCTTAGCACTGGCAAGCATAGCGCTGTGGTAAAAAAGACGCTGGTAATGATATATAAATAATAAAAAAAAACATACATTTGTATTAGAAAATAATCAGATGAACAGGAATGTTTCGATCCATTAAGTCGTATACATTCAAACAATACAGCACCACTACTGGACCTCATCGGGCAGACGAGGTGCAGTGGTTGTGGTGCTGAAAAGGAATGTATACAACTTGAGGAACTGACACATTCCTGCTCATAAATGGCACTGCAAGGAAATCGAGGGTTCCATTTGCGGCCAATGCAACAACCAATTTCTCTTCGAAGTTTTTTCATTCGTTTTTTTTTATCAAACCAAGTGACTGAATCCACCATCAGCTTGCTTACTTAGCAGATCATCAAAACAGGGACCCATCCACAGCATTGCCAGGGAGCAGCTGTTTTTGGCACGTACTAAAACTACACGCCTACCCAGGGAATGAGTTTGAGCTCATTAAAACCTACTAGGGCGGGGAACGTCACACTAAGATTTCAGCATCCTAGCTTCTCAGATTCCCGAGTTATGAACTTACTCGAAAAAAACTTTGGCGGCCCCATACGCTGGAATCACGCTTACCCGGGGATGGGTTTACTTCAGACTTGTCTCTCGCAGTC